AAAGTTGTTTACGGAACAGTAGACCAGACTCGTCCAGCGCGGGGGACAAAGACGCCTGGCATACGTCCATATACGTCTGTGCGTGCGCATGTGATCACTCTCTAGAGATCTGCCTATTCCATGACCCCGTCGCGTTTCGCGGCGGGAGTGCTTGTGGGCGGCACGGGTCCCTTGTTCCTTTGTGGACCCAGTGCAGTCTGTCCGTCTGTCTGGATCGTGGCTGCCGAGCAGGTGAGGCAGCGCAGGAATCGGATAGACTACTTCGCGTCACATGTACGTGCGCACTGCTTCTTACTACTCTTCTCTCGTTTACGCGCGTGGTATCTAAGTACGTAAGTAGTCTCTCTCTCTCTCTCTCTCTCTTTCTCCATCTGTCCATCTGACCTCTTCGTCGCTGCCGCCGCCCCATAGCTAGAAATGATGTTAGGGCAAGAGCGCGAATGGCATGAAAACGAGAGCTCTTTTTTCTTTTCTTTGCATCAAGCGTCACCGTTTCCATCATTGGGTTGTTGATGACGGACGTGTGATGAATGGGCATGGATCTCATCCCGGCCTGATCGACGACGGCACATGGCGTGCCTGAATTCAGGACCGAGTCGGAGAAGATCAGGGGAAAAGGGAGTGTGTCGGGGAGGGAAAAGGGGCGGGCGATACTGAACTAGTACGTAGGAAGGTTGGCGCTTCGCTGGCAGTAAGATTGAGAAGGTGGCAGTGCTAACCAAACGAATAAGAAAAGAACGTGTGAAAGAGGGAAGAAGGACGAAGTAAAGAAGGGACAGAATAAACAGACATGACAGGGACAAGAACTGTGGTAGCATGAGGCGCGCGCAGCGGCAGCTTCCACACACGCGCAGCGCTCATTACCGGGCAGCAGCACGTAAGACGCGAAGCGAAGAACAAGTCTTGCTTGAAAAAGGGGGGGAGAGCAGTGAGTGGCCCTGGTGGTGACAAGCGACGACGTTGCCAAAGTGGTATCCTATCAAACAGCCCGCTACCCCCCCCCCCCCCCCTTTTCCCGACCCCTTCTCTCTCACTCATCCGCGTCTGCACCTACCGCCCGCCCGCCCCCTTGTCCATCATCTCCTGAGGGCTTTTACCCCCATGGGATTCCCCTGCCCCGAAGGAGGTATGGACTTTCCGCCAAAAAAAAAAAAAAGCAAAGATCACAGCGCTTCGAAGAGGGCATTGAACTAGAAACGGAGAGATGAAGTGAAAAGCAGACGCCCGCCTCGCGACCGACGCCTTCGAGATGCTCGGAAATCCAGCCAATTTTCTTTCTCTTCTGGGAATGTGAAGCCGCCCCCCCTCAGATGTTGCCATCGCTACTCCTCCTCCAGGCCTGCCCTCCCCTCCATCCTGCACGATTAAATCAAACCCTGCCCTATTAATACCGGTACATCGGCTGCTTGTTCTTCTGCGGTGGCACGTCGTACACCTGGCCGCCCTCGTCGGGGTGCGAGCCTCTCCGGAACGGGTCGTGGTGATTAGACGCCGAGTTGCCGGCGTCGGCGGCGGCGCCACCTGCGCCGGTGGCGGTGGCGCCGTGCATGGCCTCTTTGCCCAGCGCGCTCTCCTGCCTGCCCAGGTAGCTGGGCGTGGTGTCGAAGCCGGGGTGGAAGGGCTCGAAAGCCAGCCGCGGGTCCTGATTCGCCCCGTAACCTCCTCCCGAGGGGGCCCCTGCCCCGGCTCCGGCTCCGGCTCCGGCTCCGTATGCCGACCCGCCCGCGGCCGTGGTGGTTTCGGTGGGGTCCCGGAAGGGGTCCTCGCTCTCGGTGGCCGGGGTATGGGAGCGCGACGGCCCCGCGACGGCGGGCTCGTACTCGCGGCCCTTGCCCTTCCCGTTGATGGGGGCTCGCGGGTGCAGTGATGATGATGTCTGCTGCAGCTCCAGCGAGGAGCTCGGGGACGGCTGTCGGTGGCGGGAACGGCTCCGGTCGCGGTTGCTGAGGTCCCCGCCGCTCGCAGAGTCCAGGGGGCTCACGAGGTGGTCCGAGTCTCCGCCTCCGCCGCTGGTGGCCACGTGTTTCCGCGCGTTGAGCATGGCGCGCTGGTTCAGGCTGAGGGCGGCCTGGAGCTGCTCGTTGGTGTCGATCAGGCTCTCCATGGTGTCGTTATCCGGCGCCGGGTCCTCGGCGGACATGTAGTGCTGCAGGCTTCGGCTGGCGCTCTTGCACCGCTCGGCGAACTCCTTGATCAGGTCGTTGTCGAGCACCTCCCCCGGTGGCGTGTTGGTGACGACCTGGCGCAGTAGGTCGGCAGACGTCCGCGCCTCTTCCAGCCGGCCAGCAAGCTCGACGGGATCCGGTAGACGGTGGCCGCTTCGATGACCAGGGGCGTAAGCTTGTTGGGGCTGCTGCATGGCGGGGTTGTACATGGCCGCAGGAGGCGGCGGCGGCGCGGCATTCCCTCCTCCCTGGCACCATGGACCGCGTTAGTATAGGGCGCTCGGCACAGATCAGAAATAACCTACCCCTCGGCCCTTCTGGGCCCTCTCTTTCTCCTTCCTCCACATTTCGATGAGGGCGACCAGCCCCTCGTCGTACGCCTTGGTGTGCTCGAAGGCATTCAAGGTCTCCATTACCATCTGATGCACGCTCGCGTCACGGCAGCCCCTGAGCAGCTCTCTCGCGGTGGCGACGAACTTGTCGTCCAGGTTCCGCGTGAAGCTCGGGCCGGGGTTGTCGGCGAGGATGCGGACGAGCATGAGGGCGTTGTATTGGTAGGACGGCTTGGTCCAGTAGTCTCGTTTCAGATATTTGCGGATGAGGTAGGCGCACTGGGCGGCGGCGGCGGGCGACGACTCGGCTGCGTCGACGATGGGGGGCAGGTAGAGCACCTCGTCGCTGTTGGGGCCCTCGGACTCGCAGAACGCTTTCTACAGCACAGGGACACGGTCAGGGGCCGACTTGACGCGGCGGAGGAGGGAGCAGCTCTGCGCCATAACACACCACATTGCGAGCGGCCGTGGCCTCGGGCCCATCTTGGTTTTCGTGTTCAGAGACGTCGATGCCTGTCGACAGTCACGGCGCGGGTCAGCGTGGTGTCGCGGTGGGAGAGGGGTGAGCTTGGTCAGGACCGACCCGTATCGCTGTTGTTTTTCCTCTTGATGCTCTTGAGCATCTTGCCCATCCTAAGCGACTTCATCTTGGTGGGGGCCGGGGGCTTTCAGGGTGCGGGCAGCTTCGAGGGGCACGGGATAGGGGCTGTCGACATGAGGTTGGGCGGGCGGCGGGTGTTGTCGCGGGCGTGTCGTCTCGCGGGGACAGGAGTGAGGTGTTATCGACAAGTGTTTTATCGAGCACGTTGAGCTCTGCCTTCTCTGCGCCTGAGGTCTACAAGGGGTCATAATGCGGCACAGGCTAATAAGAATGTACGACACGGCGGCGGCAGGTCGCAAAACAGCACGCGCCGCAAGGAGACCCTGGCCCGCAGCAGCCTTAGTCGAAATGGAAAATGATCAGCCGGCCTAAAATGCGCTGCGCCCCCCGGGGTTAACAACTCCAGAACTCTCCGGCCAGTCAGGCTCAATGAAATGTGGGCTGATGACCCACCCGTTCAGATCCACCACCACATAGCCTGTTGTCACTCTGAGATGAGGTGCCTTATCTAAGCCAGACCAAGTGGAGGATCCTCTGAGGTCGCGTCCTTTTGGCTCAAAAGCTTCATCGTCCTATGATATTAAGGCAAGCAACTATCTGCGCTCGCGAAGACGACGGCCTGACTGGTCTGACGCAAATTTACCTACCCTGGCAGACACAGCAGTAGATGACTTGATACGACAGATTAACTCAAAGAATTTCACCATGTGGTTACTGCGTCTCGGACTTATTTATAGTCGGCTCCCCTTTTGTGTTTCGCACAAGTCACATAAACCAAGTATCCAATGCTCAGGCCCATTAGCAAGCATTGTCTTCTACTTGAAAGCCTACCAAGTGCCTCTGAAAGTAACCAAATACTATCTGCCTTCTCTCCGCCCCTCCATTCAAGGACATACCACAGCGATGCGTGAGGTTCCATTCTGATATTTCTGGACGTTGCAGCAATACGGTAGCGAGGTAAGTCTATCCAGTTACGCCCATGACGTCCAACTAAATTACTACCGCTTTCAACGTGCGATGGACCGGTCCGTCCCCGCCGCTGTCATCCCTCCTCCGCCAGCAGCATCAATTTTAATTTACTTTATGGTCCTCGTCGCAACTAGGTGCAGCGTGTACCCGTGAAGAGATGACATGCGAAGTGAGGACAAGACCATACCAACCTACCGACGTCGCTGCCTCCGAAATGCCCGAGCTCGCCCGGAAGCATATCACTGACCAAACTAGGTGCCGTTTCCCTCCGCTGCCATGACGGTATTTCAAACCTTCTTTATTGTTCCTCGCCTTTTGCGTCTACCTACCCGCCTTGGCTCTACCTGACACTGTAAACGGTTGCGTCCGCTTGGCTTCGCCAAAACGGCGCCCAACGAAAGGTAGATAGCCTCTCGCGTGTTGTTCTTGATGCCGTTATGATATACAATGTTGCCCGTACTTACCTGTAACTAGCCCTCTGACTCGGCAGTCTGGGCCGATAAATTTCCGGAAGCACGTCCGGGCCGTCGGCATCACGCCCCGGGGAGGATAACCCCGACTCCCCCGAGTGGGGCCGCGTACCTATGTCCGCACTTTTTGAATCGACGAAATTCAATGCGTTTGGCAGTTCGTCCTTACTTAAGTCTGCAAAATCCAGTTGCTTTCTATGTACGACCATAGCCTCTGGAATACTAGGGATCCCGTCCGCTCTCCCCGATATAAGCCAGCGAGCGCCAAGTCAGTAGTTGGGCCGGTGACGACCAGCGAATCCTTGGTGTTGTACGTAATTCTTGTCTTCTTTTTTCCTTCGTTGTCGCTAATTCTTTTCTCTTTTCTCCTCAACTGACGGCAGTCTTGGTCTTGAGGTATTTTATGCCCGCCGTCTTTCCATCCGATAAGTCAGGAGTTGCTCAGTCAGCAATGAAGACTAATGGCTTGGTGGTCTAGTGGTATGATTCTCGCTTAGGGTAACACCCTGAAGCTCCTTCACGATATGCGAGAGGTCCCGGGTTCAATCCCCGGCCAAGCCCTATAGTATTGCTGTCTCCCCTTGGTTTTTGTTCTGGTTCTCTCTTTTTTGTTAGTGGACAAGCTTTCCATGAAATCGAATGAATACCAACAGTGTGCTTGATGCGACTGGTAATGCAGACACGATAGAACTTGTTGTAAGCGCCGAGCTTTTGTATCAAGATATATAGCTTATCCTCGCAAGGCTCACATGGTTCCCTAAGTACTCCCTGTTTCATAGGAGATCCAATCCACCTTAGTTGAGGTGTTATAACTCGTCTCATCGGAGAATGAGCATTCGCGGGATGGTTGTATCACCAATGAGTCTCGTAGGGCTGTTCCTCATAGTGAACGGGAATATCCAAACGTGGGCTTAGTAGATTGCATGCTTCACATGCAAGTAGTGAAGTCCAAGGTAAGTCTATAGACGCAAAGATCCTCAGGTCTCCTGGAAAAACGTTCCATCAATCGTCTGATATGGTTCTGGGTGCGCCATTTATTTCGACTGCGTGACCACGATGCAGTGAGACAAGTTCGGTCATAATAGTAACAAGATAGATCCGTGGGCCGCAATGTAGGGAGTGGGCGGAGAGACTAAGCACTTGATGATTTGATCCTCTCCTCTAAAGGTAAGCATAGGTAAGCGCTGTGTTTGGTCTTTTGGGATCGGGCGTTTTATGGCAGGATATACTTTCTGTTTGTTCATCACCTGAGCTTGTAACCTAATCCTTGGTCTTGTACACTGCTGAGTAGTTCCTGGTGGGAAATACTCTCTTCACGAGACTTTAAGCCCCTATTAGGCTTTCAAAACTGATCCATTATGCATCACGCCGGTTTATACCTAATTGTTGGTTAAGGAGAAGAGACACCATAATTCCATTCGTCCGTGTGTGGAAAACCCTCCAGTCTCTCACTCCCTAGAAATACAGCCCCACGGGAGGTCTGGATAGATCGCTTCGCGATCGTCCCCCGGGCGCTTAAAGACTACAACTACAACTACAACAACAATAACAACAACAACAACCTAGAGAAATAGCCCTGTCCTAGCTGCGGTACGGGCTAAACATTCTCCCCTTTTAACAAATACTTGGCAACGAGGTGCTGAGCTGGATAATGGAGCACGCAAAGCTGTATCCAGGTGTATTAACATCAGTAGCACTATGTTATATGAGGAGAAGCACAACTCGACTGACTTATCTAGCTCTTCTACTTTAATACGCCGGTGTGTTTAATTTCATTTCAATGTAGACTCGTTGAACAATCATCTAATAAGAAAGGTAAATGAGCAACACATAAGCCTCCCAGTCTAGAAAAGGGGAAACTAAGAGAAGAAGCAGAAGGAGAAAACGAGCAAAATCGATTGCTTTATACTTCAAGCCAAAGTGTCTGTCAATCTCGCTTCATATTGATATAGCTATTCATTTACTCCTCGCTCGAGATCTATAAAGCAGGCAGCAAGGCAGCTCGTTCGATATTCGACCCCCAGCAAAGTGTGTACTTAAATATGCTCTCTTCCCCGACATAGCAGCTCTATTATCTTGATCTTGGGAAGACGGCACCTCGCGGATCTATATTGCCGCTGCCGCCGTCGACGACCCTCTCCCCCCCTCCTCCCTTCCCCTCTGTATGTATGTATGCTGGCGAGTCATTCCTATATAACAGGGAGGGAGGAGGAAACAGCATATATGTATATATAGGTATAACCGTACGGATATATCTATCAGTCATCACCTGTCCTTCCCGCTCCTCACCACTGGACACGAGTCGTCAGCCCAAGCACCTGTATAGCGAAACAATAGAATGAGAAGGGAAATAGGAAACGAGAGAGAGACTCTGCCCTATTTCCATCACCCATTTCACCTCCATCATATACACATACATACTTATACAGGCCTATCCACTCCTACTCCAACTTACCCGCTCTTACGGCGCCTGTCTCCTCGATATCAACTCGAAGAATGTTCACTTATACTCACTTGTGCCCTACTGAAGCAATACCACTAACGCTCATTGGACTCAGTCAAGTCCCTGCTGCCCTAAAGCTGGAGCCTAAGCAAGTAAAGTCAACCAACGTTCCCTCGCTTAACCCAGCTGTGGTTGATGAATGAAACCCCAACCCGGTCCACTGCCTGACTTACAGTGCTGTATCTATAAGTTAGGTAGTTTACCGTGCGCCTGCCAGATCCGAGCCCCGGAAAAGGGCACACAGAGAAGACCGCCACACAGACAGAGAGACAGACAGACACTCGGTCTTTCAGTCTGACAGTCACATCATTTACCGCAGTACCGAGCAAGCAGCCCAAAAAGAAAAGCAGCAGCCCCATCGAATGCTCTCATCTCCTAGCCGTTGTTTATATTACTATCAGCTCTGCGGAGAGAACAGTTCCGACCGATAAACGCCTCCTTCTTTCTTCCTTGGCTGGTTGTGATAAGAAGTTCTCACGCACGGGAGGCAAGAACTGCGAGGTAACTCGACAGCGTCCGCTATCGTGACCACCGGGGCAGCAGCCGTTCCCTGATAGCCCACGCCCCCTTCACGTCCTTTTGGAGATGCGAGGGCCTCCGCTAGAAAGAATAGAGGGATCCATTCCATGCTGAAAACCTGGTGGGGAATTATGACCCCTCGCCCCCATCTCCCTCACCAGCGCCTCCCTGTCCTGTCCGAAAGATGGCCGCCCCCCCTTCGTGCGCCCCCCTTCTTCCCCATACCCCTTTCGCCTATTTCCCCCAACGCCGCAAACGACCATCGAATCCGAGTAAGTTAGGTACTGTACATACATAGCAACACACACAGCTTGACGTCTCTCGCCTCTTCTTAACCCGTCAGCTGCCCCTATCGAGTCCACCTCGAGGGGTAAGGGGATGATCGATCATCCAGGATCGCAGAAGGGTAGATGCTGATCGGCGGAAAGAAAAAAAAGTCGCCGGCGCAGCCATTGCGCTGCGAGTCGAGGCGTCAAGTCTTGCCCTTCGTGGCATGAATGTGCTGAAGAGGCCTGTGCAACTGACTAGGTGACAAGCCCCTGCTAAAACCGCCTTCCAAGTCGAGAATTGACGCAAGATGAAAGACGTCAGATCAGAAACATCGACCCATCAGGCCGAGGTGGGGGGCGAGTTCACCAGCTTGATCCTCTTCACGGGCCGCGGGAGCTCTGCCGCCTTTCTGGGGGAGGCGGTGCTCTTCCTCGAAGTGCTGGGCTTGGAAGGGGTGACTGCCTCGCCGTCATCAGGTGACGAGGGCGGGCTCCATTCCCCGGGCTTCACCTCGGCGGCACCCGCAGCGACAATGGTGAGGCCTGACTTGCGAGCGGCTCCCTTCTTCGGAGTGGCTCGGGATGTCGCCGATGGCTTCGTCTGTCCCTTGGCCTTGGGGTACGCTTTGACGGTGGTCTTCGACTTCCGCACTGTCGCCGTCTTTCGGCCGGCAGGTTTCGCTGTCTTGGCCTTGACGGAGATGGTTGAGACACTGCGCTTGATGACCTTGGCCGCACCCTTGGCCGCGCCCTTGGCCACGCCTCTAGCAGTGCCCTTGGCCGCACCTTTGGCAGCCTTGATGGTAGTGCCGGACAGGACTCGTTTGACGCTCTTGGCCTTGATGCCCGACAGGGCCTTGATCTTACGCTTCTTCGTGGCGCTGCCCTCGGTCTGGTCCTCGTCGCCATCGACTTCCTTGAGTTTCCGCTTGGTGACCTTCTTAGTTTTCTTGATGGTCTTGGTCACCTCCTCCTTTGACGGTTTCGGTGGCTTGACCTCCTTGGGCTTGGGCCCAAGCACACCTCGGCAGTTGGGGCTACCACAGAGACACTTCTGCACGTTCTTAGCCGAGAAGGGGTCAAAATTGTAGTCGTAGGTGAGCTCGTCGCCCGTCATGATGTCCTTATCACCAGCAAACAGGGCCATGCGCGGCTGTCCCGACACTATCCACTTGACCATGCGGCAGTTCGGCTGACATGAGTGGTTGACAAACCGAGCGATACTACCGGTCGTTGCGTCAATGATCATGTTCTGGTCGAAGGACATCAAGTAGTAACACTATTCACTGGTCAGCCGAAGAGAACACACAAAATGAAAGAGAGGCCCGCTTCACAACTCACTTGGTTATCCTTATACTTCTCGTTCATGCGGCGGTCACACTCCTCTTCGGTGATGATCTCGCCCGTATATTCCATTATGATCTGGTTGGCCTCAAAAGGCCGATTGGCTCGGATGCCATAACCCCGATCTGATGTCTTGAGGACTTCGACCCCAATGCGAAACTTGCCTCCCAGCTTGGTGCGCTCCTGTAGTCGTGCAAAGGCACGGTTCTGGCAGAGCCCGTCGCCGACATTGCAGTTGGTGGCATCGCACTCGTAGAGCATGATTCTATTTTGGCAGCTCTCGCCGCAGCCGTCCTCAGGTGTGCAGACACACTTGGATTGATAGTCTTTGAAGTGCGGAGTCTTCTTCCAGTAGGCCGCGGCATCGCCAACAAATCGATCTGAGGAGACAGTCAGTCAGCCAATCTCTCCCTCTTTCAACCTCGTCTCGGCTTAGCTCACTCTTGGTCATCTTCCTCCACTCGTCCGGCTTGGGCTGTCCTGGAGGCAGCGGATTGCACACATCAAAGGGCATCTTGAAGTCACGCCCCTCGATGAGCATGCGCAAGCCACCGAAGATGGGCAGCGGCAAAGCCGAGTTTGGCTTCTCGCAGGGCACCAACTCTGGGAGCTGCGCGAGTTTCTTCTTTTCACTGGCAGTCAAGCCCTTGAACATGTCGGTGGGCGCCTGCTGGCCAGCGTAGAGCCCGCGATCCAGCCACTTCTTGACGCGTCGCTGCCTGGCCACCGGAGCCTCGTCTACAGGTGCTTGGGGCTCTGCAGCCACCTTGGCTCTCTTGGCTGGCGGTTCCTCCTCTGGTTCCTCCTTCTCTTCCTCGTCTTCTTCTTCCTCCTCTGGCGCGTCCGGGTCGATGTACTTGCCATTGGCCCAGGTGGTGTAGAGCACAGGCTTGGTCTCGATGCCGGCGAACTCGTTCGTGTCTTGC